CTCTCTCTCTCTCTCTCTCTCTCTCTCTCTCTCTCTCACACACACACACACACACACACACACACACACACACACACACACACAATATGGTGTTTAAAATTCCAGCCTGTTCTGTCCAAGGCACAAACCTAAACCCCCTCCCTTGACATCTCCTTTCTCTCTTTTCCACAGGACAGGGTTCCACGCCATGGCCGGAGCGTAGCCGTAACCCCCCCGCCAGCCGCGCCTCGTGGGCCAGGACGCCGCATGGGTCCGGCGTGGGGGGGGAGTCAGCGGACGAGAAAACAGAGACGGGAGACCCCCCCTGCTAGGGTGAGTCCCTGAGACTTCGTCTGGCTCTGGCTTGGAATTGGTGGCTTTGGGGCAAAGAAGGTTTTCTTTTCTGTGTCCCGTTGTGTGATTCCCATCCCCATCTTCTAGTAAATATATTGAGAACGAGTGTGCGCTGTTGTGGGGAGGAAGGTGGGGGGTGTCAATGGGGTTTGGCTTGTTTTTTGAAGACAGCTGATGGCATGTTCCAGTCTTTTAAAATTGCCTTTTAGAGAAATAGTGTGACAGACCAGCCTTCTCCAAATAAGAATTCACACTACAGCTTCCATGAGTCCATTGCGGGCTGTGGTATTACAGGCCTTGTAGTTCAGTGCGTCACTGGAGATGGGGTTGAGGAAGGCATGTGGACTGACCACGGGTGGATACGGAGCGTGGCGGGGGCTGGATAAGGAAGGGACCCGGTGGCAGGGCAATTTAAAAAAAAAACCTTTGTGCAGAACACTTGGACCGGCTAGTAGATTTGGCAGGATGTGGGGTGCTGTAGGAAGTGGATTTGGCAGGATGTGGGGCACCGTGGGGCACAGGGAAGGGTTGAGACAGATTGTCTGATGGATAAATGTGAACAGAAGCCAGTGGTGCTCACATGCCATTGTTTTGTCCCAGCTACCGATAAAGCATGCTCGTGCAGGAACCAACCTACTATGTGCGCGTGCACATGAGCGCATGCGTGCATGCATACGCAAACATAGTTCTCGGTTTCCTGTCTCTTCTGCGGTTCTGTTCCTCCCCTCCTGCCCCAGCCTCCCCATGGATGGATGGGCTGGGGGGGGGCTTTCTCCCCGCCCTCCCTGGCGCATGGCCAGCAGAGCAGCTGGGCTCGGTGCGTGGGAGCAGAAAGGGCGGAGGGTCGGGGAGACCGCGCGCGCAGAGGGAGGTTCCTCTGCATGTCCATGAAGAGGAGGAGGAGGAGGAGGAGAACAAGAGAGAGTGACTCACAGGCTGCCCCAGAGCCATGCGCGCCTCCCTCGCACAAAACGCCCAGCGCAGCAGCAGCAGCAGCGAGAGTGGCTGTGACCTTAAAAGGCTCCTTGCTGGAGCGAACCGGCATTAACCCCACACTGCCCTTTACCAGACGGGGATCTTCTCTCTCAGGCCGGGCCCACAGATTCCCCCACCCGAAATGGATCGCCTGCCCACAAACCCCAGATGCCCTTTTCCTACATGCAGTCTTTTGGGGGGGGTCCTTCGTTGTTGGGTAGAAGAAGGGAAACAACAGGTTCTCTCCCCCCCCAGCCTGTTTCTCCCCCTGTAAAGTAAATCTTGCTGATCACGCTGAGTACCCAGGGGGGGGGGGG